TCCAGACAGCACAGCTTCCTGCCCTAGGAAGCTGCAGAGCAAGGGCTGAGGTTACCCACTCCCTTTGATTCCCAAAGGGAGAAGGAATCAAAAAAGAGGGAGGCTGGCGATGAGCCAAGCAGACTCAGAGGCGGGCTCCCAGTGTTCCCAGTTGCGGACTCAACATCTTGGAGTGAGAAAAGAATGAGAGGAGGTGATCGCTGTGTGTAGAACAGGTTTGACTCCCACATCCTGTCTCTACGCTGGCCTTCTCCTTGCTCCCGCCTGGTGCGGTGAGGAAGAAAAGGAGAATTACACCAGCTGCTCAGTCATTCCCAGGCTCACTCAAGCCTCCTACAAAATCTGAATCAACACCAGCAATGGAGACAGAAACCAGGAAGTTATTTTGAGACCAGGAGCTCTGCTTACCCCAGGATTTTGGTGACAAATGTCTGCTTGAGGACAAGCGCTTAATTCTGGGGGAACCCCACCAGCTGACCTCAAAGTGCATTTGAGGGAACTTTGCCCCTGTCCTGACTTAACACAAGGCAGACAGCCTGGGAGGCACTTGTTTCTGTAAGCCCCATGCCTTCACCTTGAGACCACTGATGCCTGTTCCCTCTTGGCATTAGAGAGTCAGTTCCCAGCTTTCTAGGCAATTCTGTTAGGGACTCATAAATTCAAAGGACACAAAATACGCTGCTACCCCTATTCATAAATAGCCACACAGTCTGAATCTAGTCTAAAGGCGTTACTTAGACAGGTTTGCTCAGGCACACCTGCAGTGGAAGCCATCCGTCACCCCCACCCCACGGCAGTGCTTCTCTGACTTCATGTGCCTGTCAATAATCTGGGCATCTTGCTAACATGCAGTTTATGGTTCAGGTCTGCGGTGGAGCCTCAGGTTCCGCATTTCTAACTAGTTCCTGAATGATGCTAATGCGACTAGAGGCCAGTCCACCCTGGGAGTGTCAAGGATGAAGAACAGAGCAGACAAAGCCTGAATGGATTGAGGTTGCCTCCAGGTTCAAAGGGAGCTAAGTAAAACACAAAGATAAAGAGGCTGAACAGGAAAGAGCAACCAGGTAGAATATGACAGGGAGCTGGGGCACCTTAGAACTTTGGAGGGGGGGGGGTAACTTCAGGGAGGTAGAGTGTGGAACAGAATATGAAGGCACAGGCCAACCAGGCTGAGGGTAACGTGAGGAAGGGCAACACATTCAGGTACCAGGTGGGAAGAAGGGCCTTCCACCAGGGCATGGGCCCAGAACTGCCTGTCAGGGCCGCAAAGGATAGGAGCTCACTGAGCTGTGTCTAGGAGCCTGTGGAGAAAATTGAGTCTGAGAACTCAATTGAAATTGAGTCTGAGAACCTGAGATTTAACAGAAGTAGAGCTCTGCTGTCAGAATGGGGCTCTGAGACACTGAATCAGGGCTGGTGGAGGCTGCTGGGGTTGGCAGGAAGTCCAGGAGCTGTTGCTTCATGGGTGCTGGGTTTCAGTTTCAGAAAATGAAAAAGTTCTGGAGATGGATGTGGTGATCGCGCCACAACAATGTGAATGTGCTTCATGCTGCTGAATTATTTACTTAAAACACAGTTAAGATGGGCCTCTCCGGTGGCGCAGCGGTTGAGCACTGGGTTGCGAAGCTGCCCACAGCCTCCACAGCGCCGGTTCGATCCCCGGCTGCTCCCCGGCCACCAGAGGAGGGTCCCACATGGCGCACAGACCTCTCCTGCCGCCCGCTGCTCCCCTCAGCAGTGTACTTCGGTCCTTCTGCCTGCTCTGCTCCCCGCTCTGGCTCTGGTGAATTCTCTCACCCTCCCGCGCTTCTGACTGTACCCAGTGCTTGTATAAATAAATAAATAAATCTTAAAAAAAAAAAAAAAAACAGTTAATATGCGGGCCTCCCTGGGGGCGCAAGGGGTTAAGCACAGCACTATGAAGCAATCCACAGCCTCTGCAGCACAAGTTCGATCCCTGGCTGGCCAGGGAGCTACCCACATGGCGCAGCAGACCTCTCCTGTCTTGCCTGATGCTCCCCTCAGCAGTGTACTCCAGTCAATCTGCCTGTTCTGTCCCTCACTCTGTCTCTGGTGAATCCTCTCAACCCCCACATCTCTGGCCTGTACCCCAGCTCTTGTATGCATAAATAAATAAATCTTAAAAAAAAAAACATTTAAGATGCTCAGTTTTATGTTTTGTCTATTTTACCACAATAAAAATAACTCACAGTGGAGGCAGAGGCCATACAAACATGGCACCACTGTCGAAATATGACTAAGTATCTAACAGTGACTAAGAACCAACCCTGTCTTGGGCGGAGGAGATACTGGGAGAAAATGGACCTTCTGAAGTCAAAATCAAATCTGGAGACAGCCCTCCATCCCCTTCACTTCACTCTTCTACAGTAAGACAGGTTGCTTATGTTTCTAAGGATTTGAAAGAAAAACAACCACATTATAAATGAGTTTCTGTCATGCCTTTGAACTTGACCTGCTCATCTTGAGTCACTAGGCTGCCCCACGGGTGCCATGAGCGCTCTCCTCGCTCAGCAGCCAGCAGACAAAAGAACCGGGCTCACCGTGAGGAAAGGCAGACACTTAAAATGCCCAAACAGAGTCCTCGGGACCATGCAGCTGTTTTCTGGCTCCAAAAGGGATGGGGGAGGAAGCAGTTGAACTGAAGTGGTAGAGAATGAAAACAACCGATGACTAGAACCTACCAACCACCAAAGTTGAAAACATTCCCAAGAAGAAAATACAGATGACCCCAAGTGTTCAGTACAGCAAAGAAGCAGCTCCCCTAAAGTCAGAGGAAGATGCAGACTCAAAATGAGCAGGAAAGCAGAAAGTGCATGGCGGAGCCAGACAAGGAGCTACCACGACAGATGTCAGCACAATGCAGAGAACTTTCCACCGGGCTCAGGCTGTGAAGATGTAGAACTGCCTGAATCGGGTGAATAACGATGACCTCCTCATACTAGACAACTGGACTGTTCCTGACAGGATGGTGGGGACTGAGATGGAAGTTGGAGAAAGCAAAAACATTGTTTGGTCAGCCCGAAGGCTGGTAGAGCAGAAAGGAGAAGTCAGCAGTCGCCCTGACACCCGTTATGCTGATCCCTCAACTGGGAAGACGGCTGACTGCTGCCCCATGGCAACCCTGTCGTCAGGTGAGCCCAGACAACCAGGGCTCCAGGGAGCTGCCTTCCCATCCCCATCCAGGAAAGTTCTCTGCCCCTGAGCAGTTTCTGCCCTTGCTCTCTGCCTCCACCCTCTTTGGTAATGGGGTGAATCCAGCAGCTGCTCTTAAGTCATTAATAGGGATGGCTCTTGATGATCTCTTCTGACTCAGCCTCATCAGACTCTTAATTTCTCTTTGGAAATCCATCATCTAGGATCAAGCGTCACTACCGCTCTCCCATGTAATCCTCCGGCTCCTCCCGGGTCATCATAGTGAGTCCCCTGTCTCCAGCGATAAAGCAAAGGAACTGCACTGTAATTGCACTTTAATTGGGGGTCGGGGGGGGTGCTTCTCCTAACAGTGTTCCCTTACCTTGATGGCCAAAGGCTCCTTTCTGAAGTCTGCCCTCAACCCCACTATACCACATAGAGTGTTTGTTTTAGTCAAGGGAGTTTTTTTTAAGGACATGAATCTCATTGGTTACAGAGATCAAAGAATCACCGTCTAGAAATAATGAGTAAATAGAAAAGAGACTAAAGGTTGATGCAATTCATAATTATTTTAAATTATCTGCTGAGTTGTTCTACTTATAGGAGAAAAAGGGAATCATTATCACTGTCTGATATTCACAAAGATTTTAGAGAACCCTTTCACACCCAGGATTTCAACCAATCTTCACAAAAAGCCAAGCATTGGGGAAAGTGGGCATTATGATGATACTCATTGAAAAAGCAAAAGGATCAATGAGTAAATTGCAGTGCAGAGAATGACCTTAACTGAGGGAGTAACTAAGATCAGGCATTGAGCAGGAATGTGAGACATTTGCTATCTGCAGGAACTGTGAGACACTGGAACTCTCTACTGTGGGAATGTGAGTCAATCCAACAACTTATCACAGCTGAGGGGACGGTGAAGAAAGCTGGGGGCCGGGGGCTTCATTGTCAAGTTGTACCAAAATCACTGCGTGATGGGTAGTTTGCGCTCCCCTAATTGCTCTGTGCACCCTCAGAACCAACCTGAGAGCCTAGTACTTAGGGGAAGGAGACAGGAACTAGGGCAAGCAAGACAAAGGTCTACCCAAGGAGGAGAAACATGCATGGGGTGGACACAGGAGCAAGAAAGCCAGGGGGCCAGCAGGACCCCAATGGAACCAGAATTGGAGCAGGGTCACAGGGGAAAGCAAAGGGTAAGAGGCACAGTGGGTGCCTCCTGCCGGAGGAGTCCCCTTCTCAGGGTCCTGTGAGTCAGGATCCATGTTAGGTGGTGAGGATTTGACGGCCAAGAACCGAGCCCCGCCAGACAAGCAGGAGACAGGTATTTTTTCAGCAAACATCCCATAGGGAATCTCTGAGAATGGAGGAGCCAGCTTTGGCAGTGGCCTTCCTCTGAAGTCACTAGACAAGTCAGGCAGGTGGGAGGAATTTGAGGAGCACATAGAAGCTACTGTGCCTAAGACATGATCTCATTGTGTTGGGCATCTGAGCACCCACCTTGACTCCGAGCTGATTACAAAGGGGGTATGACTGGGGCAAAAGTCAGGGTCCTCTGGGACACAAAGCAAGTCTGAATCCTCGGTATGTAAGGCGTCCTTTGGTGAGTCACGCAAGCTCTCTGGCCCTCACAGGGAAAGTGGACAGAATTGTACAGCCGGGCTCTTTACAGTACCCAGGCCGTACACATTTGACGCCAGGGCCGGCGAAGCAACACTTTCTTCACTGGCCTTTCCTACCCACCCACCATTATCAGCCTCATCTCTGATTCAATACCCTGTGCCCAACAGCAGCCAGACTGTACTGAGGCTCCTTGAAGAGCTGGGGAGACTCGGTGTGTGGTAAACAGGTTTTTATTGCTGTGAGGAAAATTGCAGGATCATTGCACTGCAGGTACTCAAGCTTAGTCTCCGGCTTCAGGGGACAGGCCCATCTGTCTAGACTCAGGCTAGGATGGCTGTGCTTGAAGCCGTGTCCTGGAGTCCCAGATCACCCCGTGGGGAAGTAGGGGTCCTAGCTTCTGCTGCTTCTCTCATCCATAAACTTCTTGAATATATCTAGAGAAATTAGAGATGATATCTCAATTTTGGAAGTAGAGACTCTATCCCCATTTCACCTCCCCATTCCACCCAAGGTCTCGGTTTTCTTTAAAAAAAATAAAAAATAAAAAGGTAGCAGTTCTTTCTTACACCTTCTCTTGACCTGCTACAGAAATCAGGAGAATAGAAATGAAGATTTCGGCCATCACCATGGAAACCAGTCGTCTCTAAGGCTCCCCTCCACACACACTTCCCCACCAACTCTTTCCCTCCCACCCATAAGTCATAGCTGCTCATAATATTTCTCTTTGTGACCAATACACTCATTCGTTTGGAACAAAGAACAGAAAAAAGAGCTGGTTTGGGAAAAAAAAGCTTTCTAACCACTCACCTCAGCTGAGTTCCCTCCCAGAGTTCCCTTCTTCTTCGCTCAAACAGATGTTCCCGCTAACCCCCACCATCCAAGCTCACCTCAGATCCCTCCTGCCTATGCTCACACAATTGCCCCCATCCAGAACTCCTGTTCTATTAGCCCCCAAATCTGGATCTGTTGGCTTCACAAGCCCCCAGTTGAGACCTACTCCGCCCCCCACATGCCACGCCCTCGATCCAAGCTCCTTCCTCCCTGTCAAGGCCCATTCTTCCTACCACCCCATGCACCCCCACTATCTTCATAGTCCCAGGGCCTATCATTCCCACCCCGCTAGCCTCCATTCTTTGTTTCTCCAGTGCAGAGTCTCTGTCATCTGTCCTGCCCCCAGATTCTTGAGCACACCTCAATAAACAGGATTTTTGCAAACTATCACTATTTCCCATTATTCACCCCCCTATTTCCCCACCATCCTCATAACATCCTACAAATAGGATGCTTGTATGCCTGGGCCCCTTGAGAGGAGAGGGGGAGAAGGGACATCTTTCTCAGTGCCCCCTTCTCCTAATTTGGCCCAGCCCTAGTCCCAACTGGGGGCTATGAGACTTAATTATTCTTTCCAGATTACCCTGAGATTCTTGAGAGAGGCTCCAAAGACTACTCTGAGCTGGGAGGAATTTTATCGGCGTCTTTTACAGCTTTGTTTGTTCTTCAATTTCTCCAGCTCGGACTCTTTATCCGAGTCTCTTCAGTCATAAAACAACCACAAAAGGACGAGCTAAAACCAAACTACACAGAGCCACCTTGATGCCTGCCTCTCACGCCACCCCTACATTTGGGAAGGGGCACCTGGATCCCCATGGCTTCCCCCTACTTCCCCATCTATCCACCGAGCAGCCATCCCCAAACATGGTATCCCACTGCCCCCCCATCTGGGAAAACGGAAGCAGAAGATGACTCAGGGGGTCAGGGAGGATCAAGGCTTGTTTAGGGCTTTGAGATCTCTGGATGAAAAGTAAGAAGGGTGGGGAGTTATGAAAAAGTCCGGCGAAGCGTCTGGGGCTCAGGAACAAATCACTGTCTACCCCACCCACCCACTTCCCAGACCGAGGTTCTTAGTCCCTCATAAATGGGTGCAAGACAGGTTTGCATCGAAGCATGAGCACTCTAAGTGAGCCTGAACAGAAATGCTCAAGTATTTATTTCTTCCTCTTCTCTAGGGAGTTGAAAATTAAGAAGACAGACACACTTACTTAGGATAGACAGTTTCAGCCAAATGAGCTAAAAAATTTTTCCATGAAAACCCAGGCTATTGCTATACAGGCCCAGGTCTGGACTTCAGTGGAGATGAGAGAGATCTGCAGAGGGCTAAGCATCATCAGGTCTTTTGTGTTTCTAGAGCTACTTAACCCCATCTTTTAAGAACAAGACAGGAGCTGGACATTAAAGGTGGTCCTGTGATGCACTCTCTCGGATAGGAGATGCCTCCCACTTAACAATTTTTCCTCCAGACACTTTTTTTTTCAACTATCTCTTCCATTTTCACAGCTTCAATGATTATTTCTAAGTGGCTGATTCTGAATCTGTCCTTCCATACCTGAATTTTTTCTCTCCCCAACGTCTTTTCACTTCCAATGCCTGATGAACTTCCCTGGTAGGGCCTCTCCCAGGGCCTTCAACCAGCTGAATCTAAAATGCAATCATAAGCCCTCCAAAACCAGTGTCTCTTCCTTCCTCGTTTTCTGTTAGAGGTATCACTATTTTACTAGCCAGCAAAGTCAAGAACTTCCAGCTTCACCTCGGCCCCCCCCCCCCCCCCCCCCCCCCCCCCCCTACCTTCTCGCCGCTCCCCATCACCACCCATTACGGCTGGCATTTCTCACCTCAGCTTAGCACTTCTTATCTCAGCTTCTACACTAGCACCCTAACTGATCTCCCTGCCTCTGTCTCTTTTCCAAAGTATGTTCCCAAGAGCAATCTCATTAAATAGCCTTTGCATGTCATCCCCCCTCCTCTGAAGCCTACAGAGCTTCTTTCAAGAGCCTCACATGACCTCTCCATCCGTGCCAGATAAATGGGTCATTCATGTAGCCAACAAATACGTACTTAACATTTGGCTACTCTATCTCTGGCATGTCGAGAAAGCAAAGGTGCCTAGATAGCATCCTTGACCTTGAGAAGTTCAGAGAAAGCTGTGGTCGGCTCCCGAGAGTGGGTCTTTCACCCGCCTCCTCCCATGACTTTGCACTATTTTGCTCATACAGAATGTTCTCCTCCCTATACGGTCTTCACGTTTTCCTGAAAATCCTACCATTTCAGTGAAGCTTTGCCTACTCATCCCATCACAATTCACCCCCTTTCCCCAGAATTTCAATAGAACTGAGTTGTCTGTATCACTCACCAGGCATTATCTTTCTGCTTTGACTTAGTTTCCCAGTGCAAACTTAGATATAATATTATGTGTGTGTGTGTATATATATATATATATATATATATAATCTCCCCAAAATGACTTCGGCCCATCTTACAATATTAACCCTTTCCGAGGATGAATAAGACTTTTGGGGTACTAGGCCTCCAGACCTCAATATCTCTTCAAAGAGCCCATATTCAGGCACCACCTTCCCCAGAATTTCACAGATGTGATTAAAAAAAGAAAGACAGAAAGAAAAGCCTGGGATAGTGAGTGGCCTGAGCAATAAAGTAATCAGGGAAAGCTCGGGAAGGTCTAGCTCTTCTCTGTTCAATTGAAATGAGTCAAAGGTCAACCAACCTGGAAGAGATTAAAAGATTCCTTCTAGTTTTCTTTAGGTTCAGGTAAGGATCTAAAACCAGGCAAATAAAGAGACACAAAAGGGTAAAACCCAGGCGTCCTAGGCCTTCTCCCCCCACTGGCGCGGCTCACAGACGCAGGTCTCCGCCGGCTGGGAGGGCTGGGAGAGCTCCTCGAATGGGGAGAAGGGGAAAGGGAGGGATGAGTCAGCAGGAGCTGAAAACAGAGGGTTTTGTTCAAGGGGAAGAAACGTGTGATGCAAGCTTTGAAGAAACAATGTGCTCCCTGTATCTTCGCCCCCTCCCCGAGTCCTCCACCGCCCTGCTCTCCCCACACCCTAGCCAGCTCATTGACCAGCTCTCTGGTCAGAATCGGGACAACAGAAATAGCTTCCTTCGAGCCCCTGGTTTCCATCTTGCCATCTCTTCACCGTCATCCTGGCCTTCCTTCTTTTCCTCGAGGGCCAGGGGTGGCTCACAATTACCCCGAATTTCAAACCACTCCTCCTCAGTGTAAGCTTCAGAATTCACGTTTCGTGCTGCAGTTCTACCATGGGCACTCTTGTCTTTAAGCAAAGCAAACCTGTTTCTTATTCTCTCTCCCTCCAGACCCTCACACCAGCCCTGCCTGGCATATCCCTTTCTTGATTTTATCTCAGTCAATTCCTTCCTTTCGTTCAAGCCCTGCTCAGCATTCTCCTCTTTCAGGAAGAACTCCCCAAGTAACCTGACTTCCAACCCCAGCCCATCTCTTGTATGCTGCACTCTTAGTATCTGGCACCCAGCTCACAGTTTCATTTGTATGTCTCTGCCAGGCTCTAATTTGTGTAGCCTGATCCTCCTCCTCCCCCTCAATATTTTTTTTGAGAGTTTTATGTTCAGAATCAAGCAGGAAAAGAATCCAAGTTATAGTGTTATATAAAAAAAAATGGCGTGAACAACCTGGGGAGGGAGGAGGAAGGCAATGAAGGGTGGACGATCACGAAGGTGGGGATGTGGGATGGAGAACTGATACAGGAGGCAACAGGACATAAAAGTATAGCATTAAACTTTTCTTCATCCTCTATCTGCACATCCTCTGGCTGCGTTACACAAAGGAACACAGATGGGTTCCTCTTGTCAGGCTCTCATAACATACTCCCAGGGACATCATAGATAAAGGACAGTGAACTCTAAAAATCAAAAGAAAAAAATCAGAAGACTATAAACTGCAATGTTAAATAATAACGTCCTACAGAAATCACAAGCAAATGTAATTGACCAAGATGTGTGCAAGCTGAGAAGGGAGGACAGGGTTTGAAAAATAGAGCGCAGGAGGAATCTCGGATGGGAGTGGGGGGCTTCACATTCAGTCATACTGAGACCAAAAGGGTCACCAGTTCTCCTCCAGTCCAGGAAGGTTCAGTGTTCCGCTCCAATCTCCATCGTCCACCAGTCGGCATGGAACCCTACGCCCTCAGAGTTCCCTGGGGCAGAGCACTGGTCCCTACTTCCTACTTCCCTTCTTCCTACTTCCATTATTAAGGTTTTTCTTTTGACTAAGGGTGTTACTTAGTGGTGTAATTTAAACTCATTTCCATTCAAAGCTTCTCCCCCCCAAGCCCTCCCTTATCCAAAGCTTTGAATGGCTTCCTCCCCCTGCCCCCAGGCCCCTGCTCTTCCCATTGGGGTACAGGACTCAAAACCTGAAATAAATCTCACCATCAGTAGCCCTGACAACTGTGGCATACTTCACAATTTCAAAGCGCTCTTGTGTTCCTATCTCATTTGCAGCCCCCACTTCCTACTGAATTTCTATTCTATTTTCTGGGCATAAAACTAAAACCCTGTATCACAGACAGACGTGATGGTCCTACTGCCTGTTAAAGAAAACAGA